TTTTTTTGGGTTTTCAGCTGTAAATTGAAGCCAGCTGAACGCTTCAATTTGTGCACACAGAAAGCAGTCAAGTGCAATGTTTGTGTCAGTTTTGAGTGGCTGTTGGTCAATATCGATAGACAGAGACAGAGACAGAGAGAGAGAAAGATAGAAATCGCAAATCTAATCAAGTGGTAGCTGGTCAAATACAGCACATTTATATGCCATATATATTTACTTTCTTTTTATTTTTTTTTTTTTTTGCTTTAAGCTGGCAATTCAATTGAGAGCAAATTTTATTATCGTGCGACTGTTCGAATTTGTTATATGGCAATGGAGCTGCAATTATTACGTACGCCTTGGAAGAATTTATGATGCCACACATTTCCTAAGGGATTGTCAGAAAAGTAATAAATATGTCTAACCGTTTGTATGTGCCACAGTTATCCTTCCTACTCTCTCTCTCTCCATCTCCCTCTCGGTCTGGCTTGCCTGCTGCATGAGTATTGCAAATATAGAAAAGTCTTTCATATTTTCTCGCATAGCTGGCATACCTTTTTATCAGCTTTTGTCTTTTGCCAAAATGGAATTTTTATGGCATTTCATTGTGTTTGGCCTGAGCTCAGTTTCATTTTACGTTCAATTCGATGAGGTTTATTTAAGTTTCCAGTTTATTAGAACACGCTTGGGAAAATGCCAGCAAGCCCGGCAAGCTAGCCCGGTGCGTTTGTCTTTGGGTAAAAAAGGGACAAAAAAAATATATAAAACATGGCACATACATTTTAATTAAGTTGGTTTTTCTTATTTAATATTTACATAGCTGGTGTTAGACAACAAAACACAAAAGTTTGCCTACACTTCAACTTAAAGTAGCGCCACAAAGTTTTTAGCAACTTGAAAGTTGTTTGCTTTGCCTTGCTTTTACTGTCGGTCCTGCTGCCCCCGATCTTTGGCCCCCTTGCCATACACAGAGCCATCAAGCTACTTGCGCGGCATTAAAACAAACCAAGGTGGCAACAACTTTGGGCCTAATTTCACAATGAAAACACATTCGCAACGCTAAAGAGAGCGCCGCATTTCTCTTCAATTGTTTTCGATTCACTCTTTGCTAGAGTTTTCGGAGTGAGCCCAGCTGAGTCCGAAAGCGCGCCCGAAACCCAGTTAGCACACAAGTGGTTGCCAGGTAGGTAGCTGTGGCAGCTGCGGCAGGTGAGAGACATTCATGCCATTGCAGTTCGCCACAGATTTTAATAAGAGCCAGCGAAGCCATCCTAAAATAATGTTGCGTATACGCAATGTATTTCACACAATATAAATGCTACTAGGCTGCTTTGTGTGCGGGTGCACACAAATAATTCATGGGCGCCAGCAGAGCTTTTCAATTATAACAAAAAAAAAAAACTGTACAATTATTTAAGCTAATTTCATGTGCCAGCTACACACAGACACACGCACACAAACGCCCGCAGACACCATAATTAAAGCAGCGCCTAAAAGCATTTTAACCAATTCGAATGATAGAATCTAATGCTAAGCACAAAACTTGACTAATTAATACCCTGTGCTGTTATCAAGAAAAATAAGAAAGTGCCTTTATAAGCCCTGAATTTCTTATTTTGCATATGTAGTTAACAGGCAGAAGGACGCATTTCCGACTGCATAAAATATATAGTCATGTCCATGTCCATTTGTCGCTCCGTCTGACTGTCTGTCTATCTCCATGTATAAGCACGTCGATCTCAGAAAAATTTAAGAGCTAGAGACTTTAACATTGTCCCTCCTAATGGCCGCGCAGTACGAGTTTGCTTCCGATTATCGATAACTTGCATTATTTAAAAAGCAATCGATAAAAGTCGCTATTGAAATTCCGATTTTGAGCGTATCTCTTAGGTTTTAAAAGCTAGATTCGCCAAATTTAATATGTAATTTCTACAATCGTTTATACAGATTAACTATCTTTAATTTTGTAACAGATAGGCCAGGGTATTCCCCAGTCGGGCACTCGCAACTAGAGATTCTTTTAGTTCTTTAAGTGCTTCTAAAAATGGCAATTAAACTTAGAAAATTTCAAAAAAATTTTATATTGAAGCATACTAAAACAACAAAAGCTGTAGTATACAATATATTGGAAAATTAAAATTAATATTTATGCAATGGTTTATATTCTTTTTTGTAAATTTGTACATTTGTTAATTCTTGTGTATTCTGCAGACCTTGAAGTGCAAAAAGTACGTATAGAAACTCCTGCAGGACGCAAAGTTTTCTCTTTTTAACCGTTTATCTTTAATGAAATGAAACTTCAATGTTTTTACTTGAAAAAGTAATTCAATATGAAGCTCATGCCTAGACAAGACCAATTAGACCAAAACTTTTTGCTTTTCCAGACTCGCTTCTATTGAAATGCAAAGTTGTAAAACTCCGCGCGACTAAAAAAGTAAAGGATAAAAGGTCAAACGCCGCGCTTTGCTAAGAAGCACAAGACTGAAAAGTGTAATAAATTCGTTCGGTCTTTATTTTAATATTTACTGCAATCAAAAGAATTCCTTAATTAATTTGAAATTTCAATGTGCTTTTAATGAGTCCAAAAAAACTTATCAAGTTTTATAAACTTGTGCATTGAGACTCGTAAGGTGAATGCGAAAGTGGGCGGCACGCGAACCGATTCGAGTTGAATGATTAAAAAGCTTCAACTCAAAAAACGGATGTGCGGTTGACAAATGCTTCAAATAAACATATACACACACACACAAGCAGAGCGAGCAAAGACGGAGGCTGAAGCCGCTTTTGTTTATCTACTTTAAACTAACATCAGGCACTTTTGCTATCTAATCCTGACCAACCCGACAGCTACTTAATGTCATCAGTGCCACTCGCTGGCATTTTGAGCGGCGACAAGGACAATGCCGCTGACGACAAAGAGGCAGAAGACGACGAAGTAGACGAGTAGGAGGTTTAAAGTGCGCAACGTTGAAGGGCTTGCCGGCCCGGTTGATTGGTGGGCAGGACGGGGACCGGTCGGCAGGCAGTCATGATCCTAGCCTATGGGGTCCTGCCAGAGCTCAGACTGTTAAATTGAATAATCGTTTGCGCTTGGTCGCATTTAAAAGGACCTTTTAAAAGTTTTATTGTGTGTTTGTTTCGTGTGCTACACACACAATACACAAATGTGGCAAATATCGATCAGCCCGTAGATGCTGGACACACACACACACACCCACACACACACACTCAAACGCAGGACACAATTTCTTGGGTTTATTCTCGAGTGCTAGAAACTTTTTTTTTTTTTGCCATGCGTTTATACCCTGCGCACCCAAAAAGTGGCTCAAGCGGTTATGCTGAAGTGGAGCACGCTTTGGTGACAGCTATGTTTAAAATTGGGTCAACAGGCAAGTTTATCTACCCAAATGCACGACCTTCTGACCGCTTCCCGCGCGACCTCTGAGAACTCAGATGCTAGAAGCTGGACCCGTCAAATTTGGTATGCAGATTCTCGTATACCTTACATATTAATATATATTTATCAAAAGGTCTGTTTACACTGAAATCTTTTCTTGATATTTTCTAGCCCGTCTTAAGATGAAGTGTAGAAAGTGTCTATTACTTTTCGTTTACACTTCATAGTTTTTACAATTAACTGCGAAAGCGATAAAAAGCCATATCAATTTTCTTTATGGTATTTTCTTGATTTCTGGCCACTTTCCAACACTATTCCAGATCTGATTAAAGAGTATTTCCCCGTTGTGCACATCAAAGCAAGGTTTGTTTTTATTTTTGAGCTCTTAACTGACAGTCGAGCATGCAAAAGTTGGTCCTTTTGTTGTCATTGTTATTGTTGTTGTTGCTGCTTTTGCAATTCAAGTTTTCCTTTTTTTGTCATTTGTTAGACATTTATAAGCAAATCCGGGTCTTGTTAACGTACATTTCAAGCTGTTTTGTGTGTTTGTTGCTAAACTTTTAGTCAAATCAAACTGAATGACCCACTACCCAAACATAGCCCAAGCCCAAACATGACTTGAATTCAACTGAAAAAGCTTTCAAAGTATTAACAAGTTCATAAATTTTATGAAAACGCCTGCAAATTGATTTAACTACCGAATTTGCCGAACCGTTGCAACGCACCTGAACTTTCAACTCAGGTACGGATAGCTCGAGTGGAATAAGCATATTACAATTTAATGTCGATTGAAATAAAAGATAATGTAAACGCTTGACGGAACACTATTTAATGTAAAGCAAGCAAATATTGTGTGCAAAATAAGACAAAATGCAACCTCTTGACCTTGATTGCCATTTGCCAGGAATTGTGTGTCTTAGATTCGACAACTCAGAAGCTTACACTTGTTAAATAATACTACGAAAACTTATTCAAACTACCTACGAAAACATCTTCGCTTTGCTTACATTGCGAGTGCCTGACATTTGGCCAGGTGTGAGCCACGCATCGCTTTCTTTCCGTTTGTCTTAGCCAACCAGATTGGCGGGGGCACCCAGTCCTCAGCTGGTTCTATTGACATTGCGCCTCCAGCTCAAGTGACAAGGCAGCCGACACGTTTATTTAACTTTTGTTAGATGCCCGTTCCGTTCGGACACGATAAATTTTATCCTGTTGGTGGCTAGCAGGTTTGCAGAGCCCAACTTGTGGCACACAAAAACCACCACGAATTAAGCTCTGAACATTCTCTCGCGTAAGCTACAAATATATTCATGTCATTTTATGCAGCCAGCGAGGGTGGTTCAAAAAGTTAACGGAAGAACATCAAGAATCAACGGCGTTTTATAGAAACAGACGGACACATCTAGTGACAAAATTCGAATACCCTCTGCAAGGGTATAAAACATAAACAAGCAACAGACCATAAAATACCCTTTTAAAGAGCTCTCTAATTGTTTATGTGGAGTATCTTTTCCCTTTTTTTTATAGATTTTTGAGTTATCATAGGGATATAAAAGTATATTAAGGCAAGGAACATTGTAAATGAATAAGTAGAGATAAGAAATAAAATTACTTACATTCTGTATTATCTGTTTAACATGTTCCATTTTAATCAACATAATACGAGGGTTTCTGAAAATTTGAATATGAATAAAGACATGAATATGAAGTTGCATATGAATATGATTATAAATACATCCTCAAATATCCTATATAGAAATAGGTTAGAAATTTCCCACCCCATAACTAAGTGAAATCTCATCCGATTTGCCTGAGGTTTAGCTCTTGCTATTTGGCTCTAACTCAATTTGACATCTAAATCTGGCAACATTATTTATGGTCGAAATTCATGTGAAAATGGTATCCTCAAATAACCTACATAGAGATATGTCCAAATATCGAAGTTTGACCTTTTTCTCTAGCTCATAAATCTAGAAACATTATTTTTGTTCTAAATCGGTCTACAACTCATTTTCAAAGATGATTGAGAGAAGTGCAGCCATATATCGATATGAACCTGAATATGATTATGAATATGAAAGTACTCAATGAATCTCTTAAATACATACCATATAAAGGAATACATCCAGGCGAATGAGCATGAGCGTCTGTGTGTGTGAGTATCTGTGTGCGTGTGATGCAATTAAAGTCTATAAATAATAATATAAATTATAATACTCAAATAATAAATGCATTTGATATGTATTTACCCAATATTTACTGCACAAACTGCCCTCGTATTTAACGAAGCAAACATTTACATTTGGCTACGAGACATCAAATTCAATTTCAAGTTTAGCCATAGCCAAACAAACGTGATGTATCCCAAAGGTCTCTTCCTACATACATCCGGTGCACGTCAAAGGTGCGCCCAGAGAAATGTGTGTGTGTGTATGTGTGTGTGTGTGCGTGCGTGTTGGTGTCCAGCGTACGGCAAGTGTCCTGTGTCCTGTGTGCTGTGTGCTGCGTCCTGCACCCATTTTCAATTTGAAGGCAACTGCAATGTCTTCAACTTGGCTGCTTGTGATTTTTATGTGGCCATAAATTCTCAGCACGAGCTGAGCTCAGCCCAGGTCTCGTCTCATCCGCAGCTTCCGGGCAAATATGTAATTGCATGCAATGCGCCACGAGAATGGGTTATAAATGAATGCCAATGTGTTTTTGCCTTCACCGTTCCTTACGCTGCATTCTGTTCCTGCCTTTGAAGTGGAAGTGCTGCTGGAGAATTGATGTCCTGTCCGTTGAATAAGACATTTCTTTACATGAAGCCGCTGAGTGCAGCAATAAAAGATACATTTATCGTTTTCCAATTTGTGTAATTTTTCTGTTTCTTGTTCTGTTGTTGTTGTTGTTTTTGTTGTTGTTTACTTGTTTATAACTACATCAATAAATTATGTATCGTATAATTCATACTTTTCATACTCTTTGAAAGGAAATTTGATATTATGGAATTGCGTGCTATTTGCTCAATAAGAGGTTCGACTTCAAAGATTGTTTTCTTTTTTTGTTATTTTTTATTTATTTTTGGAATCATTTGGGAACAATACTTGAAACGTCTAAGCACAAGTTAACTTTTCTAGGTTTCTGGTTTCTCGTAAAGCTATAAGTTAAGTATGTTTTATGCATTTAATAGCTCCCAAGCTGATTACTACATAGTCCATTGATAGTTGCTTCAAAGAGTATCTTGATTTGTTTTCTTTTTGTATCGTTTTTTAAACTCCGGCCAGCCGAAGACTAGAGTACATGTGTGTTTACTCATTATATGGTTTAAGATAAGGTATTACATTTTTCACGTTTTTATTTAGTTCATAGGGTACTAAAAGGTTCCTCTCATTAACTTTCACTTTTTGCCTTAGGATTGTGTGTGTGTGTGTGTGTGTTCTTTATAAAGTATTAATTGCAAATGTCTATGCTTGATATATTCTTTTCTGTTTTTAAGCTAACGCGTGTTGCCTGGCTACACATACATTTCCAATTAAGTATAGATTAAATGGTACATACTCATATATCATGTGTGTGTGTGTGTGTGTGTGTTAAGGTTTAAATTGCTATTGTTGTTGTGCAGTGCGTGCGTTTGTGTGTGAGTGTGTGTGGATTGTGCAGAGAATCGAATTAATATAAGGCCACTTATCATAGTAAATAGTCAGAGTATAATGCACACATACACACAACTACGAGTATGTAAGCATGTATATATATAAATATATATATTTATATATACATAGTACACTTTCATACATATATGTATATTCCATGCCAATTATCAATTTATGTTAAGCGTTTCAATTGCTGTTTTTTTTTGCAAAAAAAAAAAACAAAAAAAAAGGTGTCTGTTAACTGCGCCGCCTAACTAGCCTTAACTTAAGTGGCCTTTCTAGGGTATATTTTTGTGTCTGTGAGTGTGCCTAGAAATTCGTGTGTTTGTTATTGTTGTTCGCTACATTTCGAATTACAAATATTTCTAATCGAATTGTTTGTTTAATAGCATTAATTTTGCCTGCTTTTTAACTTGTTGCTTTCTATTGAACATTTGATTTAATAGACAATATTCGCTTAACTCTTTTTAGCTGCTACAATTTAATTTCTGTTTGTTTCGCTGCTTACATTTTTTAAGGTTTTCATTTAATGTTAGTTATTTGCATTTTTCTTTGCTTTGCTTGGTAGTGCATTTGCTTTAGCTCAATGAATTGTAAACCTCGTGTTAATTGTTGTTATTGTTATTTAGTTTGTATGTTACTAAATTGCGGGATAAACTAATTAACTACGCTCATTATTGTAATGTTCAGCTCAAGAATACTTATATGCATAACCATGTACATATGTATGTGTGTATATGTGTCAGTTTGTGTGTGTGTGTGTGTGTGTGTGTGTATGCTAAAAACCCTTGGGTCGCAACGGTACCCTTCAGTTATATTTAACTATATACGATATATATATGCTAAATATGCGTGTCAACTTCTCTGCCTCGCCTCGCTGGCATTAAATGTACAGTAACAAATTTCTATATATGAACTGGCTGTTCGGATTTTAGCAATCTATATAGATAGATATATATTTTAATATATTATATATATATATATATTGATTGATGGATTGGCTGTTATTAAAAACCTGTTTCATTCTTTCGTTTTCTTTGTTGGTTAAACAAAAAAAATAAAAATAAAATCTTGGAGATCGTTTAAAACAAAAGAGAAAAATAATAAAAATCAAAAAATAAAAATGAGCTGTGCCAAGCTTTTGCCCTATTTACAGAGTCAGAAATAAATAAAAAGCAAACAATAAAATAAAATGAAAATAATAATTATGCAAAGAATAAAGTTAGGAAAATGTAATGCTTATAATTTCATAATTGTATCAAAGGAAAAATTGTCTAATCGGTGTAAAACACAAGGAAATAAATTAGGTGCATATGCTTTAACAACTAAATCAGATTTCGCATTAACATTTTTTAGTTTAACATTTGTGTGTGTGTGTGTGTTTGTGTGGGAGGAAGGTGTCAGTGTGTGTGTGTGTGTGTGGTGTGCCTGTGCAGAGCAGAGCATTTGCAGTTGCTTTTGTTATTATTGTTTAGTGATTGCTAAAGTAAAAGTTGTTGTTGCGTATGTTGCCACGTGTGCGCCAACGAATGCAGCTGAGCAGAGCGAGGCGGGCGTTGCGCAACAACACCTGGCCATAGGCACAGCAGGCGCATATGCGGCGCACACGCTCGGCCAGCGTGCGCCGCCGGCAGCGACGTGGACGCCAACGGGGCAAATCTTGCCGTCGACGGCGCAGTTGACGTCACTTGCGGCGCTGGAAGACGCGTCTGAGCGCCTTGCGCCAAAAGAAGCGCTGGGATTTGGGCTTGCTGTATTGCGGCGGCAACTCCTCCATGGCCATGGCCAATCCAAAATCCTGCACACTATCAACATCAATATGGTGCGGATAATGGCAATGCGATGACGATGGCTCACTATCTCCAAAGCGCTGTCGCGTTGGCGTTGCGGGCGCTGTGCGTGCACTGGACAAGGTATTGACAGCATGCGGCTGTGGTGTGGGCGGTGCGGAGGCGGTGGCCACGTATGGGGCAACCAGATAAGGACGTGCGCGCAATGCGGCCATGGCCGATGCCGAAGTGGATGCAATGGATGAAATAGAGGCCAATGTGGCCACAGATGCCGTTGACTGCATATGCTCGGATGATGCTACTGCTGCTGCTCCTATTGCTACTGCTACTGCTGCTCCTGCTGGCTGGCTGGCTCGCAGCCAACAACCAGGCTGCATCGTATCTTATCTAAGCCACGGATGCTGCAAACACTCTGCAGCTGTGGCACGCTTGGCCGGATCGAATTCCAGCATCGGTTTTAAGAAAGCCGCAAACGCCTCCGCATCACGCTTGGACCATTCATACTTCTCCACCAGCACATCCATGAGGCCCCAGGGCTTTAGCCCGGTTATGTTGCGCAGCTCGCCGTTTCGATTGAACGTCTGCTGTGCATACGTGCCCCGGAACACAATTTGTCGTGGTATGGGACCAAGCAGCTCGATTATATGTGCTATATGATCCTCATCGCGTGTATATGTATCGCCGGAATGCGGCTCAAACAGATAATCACCGGTGGCCAGCTCAAATACCATGCAGGCGGTGCTCCAGATGTCCGCCGAGGTATCATAACCAGCGCCCAGTATAACCTCCAGCGAGCGATATTGTCGCGTCTGTATATCTTCGGTGAAATGTCTATCCACCCAGCAAGCATTGCCCAAATCGGCAATTTTCACCTGCACATTGCAGGCCTCTAGCGCAGGATCACGCTTATTGAGTCGATGCTTGGACAACGGCGGCGGCGGTGGAGGTGGCGGCAATAGCGGCTCCGAATACGGGCCACCGTTGGCCGACGAGGAGCGCTCAATGGAGATACTTGAGATTTTCGAATTGCTATTCGAGTTTTGTTTCGAATTTGAATTGTTGTTATTCAACTGCTGCTGCTGCGGCTGCGGCTGCTGCTGTTCCTGTTTGGGCCGTGACGATGATTTCTTATTGCCGCCGGCGGCACCATTTGATTGTCCCTTAAGCGTGCTGGTCGAGTGGCTGCTGTTGCTGCCATTCGTATTGGAGCTTTTCAAGGCGCTGGCGCTGCTGCTGTCGCCGCTGCTGGTGGAGTTCTCCTGCGGCTGAGATTGCTGCTGACTGGTTTTATCTGAATAATGGAAAATAGGCAAATGAATATAAACTAAGTATGAAGGCTTAATACGGAGCGTTTGGCCACTTACTCTTGTTCTTCTTTTTCTTCTTCTTTTTGGCCTTCTCAGCACCTTCCTCTAGTGAATTCTGGCCAGCATCGCCGGCGCTTGCTTCGTTAGCCAGCTTGGACAGCACAGGCTGTTCTACAGCCTCCTCATCATCGCCGTCATCCTCATCTGGATCCGGTTTGGTCAGCTGCATGGGCTCTACGTCGTCGCCGTCCACATCATGCTCGATATCAGAGCTGCCTGCATCGCCATTTTGAGCATGCTTATCGGGTTGCTGCTGCTGCTGCTGCTGATGTTGCTCCTCGCCGCCAGCTTGCTCCAAGTAGTCGCGCTGCTTCTTGAACAGTTCCATGCGCTTCTTGGCCTTCTTCTTTAGCTTCTTCTTCTTGTTCTTGCTCATCTTGCCGGTGATGGGCGGCTCGCGATACTCCTTGGGCGCACGACTGACCAACGATGGATACATCTTGGAGTTCATGCAATATAATTGCGTCGCCTCAACGGCAAGCGAACGCACATGCGGTTCATCGACACACAACAGGACATTCTCCGGCTTAATGTCTGTGTGTATGATCTTACAGCAGTCATGCAAATAGTCTAGACCCTCTAGGATCTGGCGTGTTATACTCTTGACATTCTCTAGCGGAATGCCACGATAATTGGACTTGCGTATGAGCTTCAATAGATTGTCGCCCAGCACCTCGAAGACCATGCAGATGTGCGTGCCATTAACGCCGGTGATTTTAAAATCATCAAACATTTGAACCGTCTTCTGGCGACGTGGATTCAATGGATCCGTTTCGCGCACCGTTCTGAGTATCTTAATTTCATCCTTGGCCGTTTCGGCGAAATGCTGCGCCGATTTGACAATCTTAATGGCCACATAACGTTTCTCCTGCAGATCCCAGCAGAGCCAAACAGTGGAAAAATGTCCCCAGCCCAATTTGCGAATGACATGATAGCGACCTGTAAATAAAGATTCGATTAGAGTCTGTCAGACATTCCCCTAGCGTGCGTTAAAAGGTTTTTAAAGTGCACCAATCAAAAAAATGAAATCACAAATGTTTGCCTTTGATGGCAATAAGTCCATTGCAATAACTCGTCGCCGCACACTCAACCGGACAACTAAATGGACACGATGAGCTGCTCTTCAATTAAATGCGCCCTCAGAGCGCGCATTGGGCATTGTCAGCTGGGCCATTCGCATAGCACAAATTGACATTGTGCTCAGAGTATATAATGTATATATAGATACATATGCGTATATAAAGTCTGATTAGTTAATAAGCGAGTAGAATATTCGCAATGTCTGTGGGCTCTTATCATTGGATGGGCGTGTGCCTTATCGCAGGCAAAAGGTTAGCGGTATTTTCTTTGATTATAAATCCCCTAAAATGTGCTTTATGCACATCATTTGCTATAACAAAAGCATTTGCCAGAAACAAACGCACGCCCGCCCATGCCATCTCAATATGTAAAGGCTTAAACTGCGGCTGGGTGGGGCAGCGGGTGGGTCAGCGGATGGGGCATCTGCTGGTGGCAGCCACAGTATCAAAAAGTGGCAGCCATGTCGCCAGTAGCGACCGCAAAGCCAGCCAAATTCGAACTGCCCCACCCCATAAACAACCCTTGAGCGCGAACAGACACACGCAGGCACACAAACAGATGTGGCTGTATATATAAAAAGGGGCGTTCCAGATTAACAACCTGTTGTTGTGTGAGGCAATAACAACAGCAACAACATTAACAGCTACACTACAGCACAATCAGGTTGGAGGACGGTTGCCCCGAAAACAACAGGAAAAAGACTGCGTTTTGGGTCATGTTCTATGCAGCACGAAATGGGTCTTGTGCCGTGGCCTAAACAGGAATTATTCAAATTCAACTAAATAAACAACAAAGTTGTCAGCTTGTCGTCTGTCACACGCAACGAAACTTAAATACCCTAACAAAATCAATATATCAATTAATGCAATCAACTGTGAACTGTAAAATAAAAATAAAAAATAAAAGGCATGATAAAATGCCAGGAGAAACGTTGTGAGGCGCGTGAACTTTTAGTTGATAATCAATTTAGCTAATTTGTACAAATAATAGAATGCAATATTTGAATTTAATCTTTACTTTACACTTAAGCCACAAATTTTGCAGCGAGAACAGGTGGAATTTGTGAAACGAATTGGTGAAATCGCCAATAGGAATGCATTTTTCATTTCACAGAACACAAAAAGTGTTGCACAAATCGAAGAGCATGTAAATGCTTTCAGGTAGGGCATATAAAAATGGCGTGCTATATAACTGTATTGTTTCTTTGTTGTTCGGTTTTACAGGAATTTTGTGACTGGGCGTGAGGTGCAAACAGGTGACATCGCCATCCATACGGATGGAAACTTACCCTGAAACAAATCGCCAATGTTGACCGGATGATAGCCGCCCTTGCAGTAATCCTCTTTAAGTTCCTGCTCCTCATTCTCGCTGTTCATTTCCGATTCCTCCGATTCATTGGACGAACTACGCGGTGGCTGCTGATTATGCATGCTGTTCTTTGACTTCGATTGCGACTGGGTGTCGGGCGTATTGCCCGAGCCACTCGATGTGGACGCTGTGGCATTGCTAAAGGATGCCACAGATTTCGAGTTAACAGCGCCCCCAGCGCTGCCTACGTGCAGTTCAAACTTGCTGGCGCCCTCTGTGTGGCTATTATTAGCATTTTCTGGTGCTGGTGCTGCTGATGTCGCGGGCATAGCGCAGTTGTCGCCGCTTCTGTGTTGATGTTGTTGTTGTTGTTGTTGCGATTGTTGTGGTTGTTGCTGTTGTTGTTGGTTTTCTTGGACGGGAGCTCCATTTGCTGCATTTTGCTTGCCGCGTTTCTTGTTGTTCCTATGCCGCTTCTTCTTCGCTTGAATAGCCAAAACGCGGCGGTTGACGTCAGCTTTTGAATTCATGTTATTGTTGTTGTTGTTGTTGTTGCTATTGCTAATCGCTTTTTGTTATTCGCTTTTTATATATCGCTGTGTCGTTCGCTCGCCTCCGCTAATTTTCACCAAGTTTAACAGCTGTTGAAGAAATAACAACAAAAAATGTGCTCAAATCTCAATAAGGCAATGCAAAAAGATTACATTTGTATTGTACGTATTATTGTTGTTGTTGTTGTTGTTGTTGGCGTGCGCACGCCTTGTCTATGCTGGGGCTTCGTCAAGCTCAGCCAGCCAATCGTCTACTTGCCTCGGGCTCCCACTTGTTCCAATTTGTCACTGCAGCTGCTACTGCCACTTTGTTTGATTTTGATGTTATGATTTAAGCAATACGGAAAGAGAAGAAAAACGTGCGTACAATTTGCTCGGCAATTTATCGCACCGTATCGTCTTTTATTCGCAAAAAGAAAACCAAAGTCAAACAAATGCCTTGGCGATCGAAATTATGCCAAAGTGGCCCTGCCAACTTGAAATGTTCTGCATGCACTGCGCACTGTGCACGAGTAACTCGTGTAATTTTGAGTCAATTTTTTAAAAATTACTTATTGATCTACATAACGTTAAGAATAAATAAAATGCCTGAAAATGTTACTTAAAAATTGTACAAACAAAAAAAATAATTGTGCAAATCTGAAGTATGACTGAGAAACGAGCTAAGTTGGCAACACTTGTCGCCTTGTTAATTCTTAGCGTGTGCTCACTCACACACGCACACACGCAAACGACCCTAATGCCTGCTCGCTTGCACAGTAACTGTAGCACACATTTGATTTAGAATTTAGGTGAGCTGCCTATTAACAAGTTAGCGTATTTTTAATTTGTAATGTCAACTTACATGACTTTAAGCGTTTATGCATGCTAATCCAATGACATTTTGTGCTGAAACGCATGGACTTTTAGCCAAAACGTTGCTGCGCACCTATAAATCCGCGAGTGGAAAAATCTACTACCCAAAATACAACACTGGCGTTCAGAGTTGGTAAACGTTACAGATAGACGTCAAATCAGCTGTTGTGTAGAACAGTTTGCGATACATTAAATTAGTTAACCTTTATAAAAATTGCAAAACACAAAATTTTAACAAAGGAACAAATATATAAGGAAATTCATAAGGGATTTGACAGTAATTGGTGTGGCACACTAACCAGAAATTAAATATCGATATTTACAGCAGTGATATAGATCGATGCTATGCCTGCACTTTGTTATTGCACACTATCGAGATATCGCTAAATGTACAAGTTGTCGTTTGTTGGCACGGAACAGCTGACTATTGCAAAGTGAGCGAAACGTAGGTTCGTTGCTCGATTTGAACGAAAGCAGTTATAGAAATTAAAAAATGACGACAAAATAAGTGCCAGCTATGCTATTAAACCCGTTTCCGAATTTCGCTAAAAATCTACTACGCAAAATGCTACCCTCTTGTGCAGTGCTGTATAACGCACGTTTAACCAACAGCTGTGCAACAGCGCTTTGCAACACTCGAACGACTGAAATGGCGCGAAAATAATTTGGCGCGTCGCCGAACATTTGGAGGGAAACTGCATCGCCGTGGCCCAGTTGTAATTTGAGCAGTGGCAGTGGCAAGACGTGTATGAAAATATAATAAGAAAAACGAAATAGTGAGATACCACAGAGCCAACAACCAGACGTGCCAAGAGTGAAATTGTCAAGCAAATACAACAAGCCCATAAGCATAGCATTTAATTCAAATTGCAATCATGGCCCAGCCATCGGTAGCTGCATTTTTTAGCAATCGCAAACGTGCCGCCGTGGATGATGCGACCACAATTAAGACCAGGGTAAGTGGGTGTACCATGTGGTTAACCATAAAAACGTGGCCCAAGAGGAAAAAAGAGTGCAACAAACATTCCTCTAGATACTTTTGTATGCTGTGTGTCTGTGTGTGTGTGTGTGTGTAAAGTGTGGCATGCAGCGTCCTGCGGCCATTTTCTATTTGCAAAATGCTGAGACTCAAATCCAGTTGCCTTTACTAACTCATTGCAGCGTCTCGCAGAACCAGTCGAAGTCGCTGCCCCACAAAATATAGCGCTTCCGAGCGCTTCCACGAATCAGGATGTGGACATGGATGCACTCAAAAGTGGCATACGCACACGATCGGGCCGCACCATCAAACTTATTGGCGTACAGCCAACCACACCGTCTCAGGAAAGCAGAAAGAAGTCAGCCAAGGTTGAGGCAAACATCAAGCAGCCAAAACTTGTACAGTTCATACGCAAGGGCAACCTTTCGCCGCGCAAGCAACCACCCAGCAAGGCGAGCGATGTGGCACAGATCATCAATGAGCAGACGCCCAAGTTGAATGTGACGTTTGCCGCCAAGCAAAATGAGGAGAATGCGCAGCGTGGCATGCGCACGCCCACCAAACAGATCATCAAGGATGCCTCGCCCATAAAGCACATAGATCTGGCCAAGCGTGGTCTGACCTTCGACGAGATCAAGACCAAAGTGTCGCGCAGCGCCAAAATGCAGGAGCTGAAGGCCGTGCTGGCGCGCAAGGCACAACTGGAGCTGCAACGCAAGGCGCAGGAGGAGCGCAATCGCAGGCTGCGCGAGGCGGGACCATCACCAGCCAAGACCGCCAAGACGGTGCAGCTCAAGGAGTTCGATACCATTGAACTGGAAGTGCTGACCAGGTGAGAGATGCGCTACTCATATGCATAACCTATTGCGCCTGCCACAATAATTTTATTTTCGCCAGTGGCTATGGCCTAGAAACGAACGTAAACAAAACATATGCAGCAAAAAACCGGGTAACATCATTAACAAAATTTCCATTTTTTTTTTTTCATTTATTTTTTGTTCTTTGTCTTATATATATTGCTATCGAGGTCGCACTGGGCTGGGGCTGGGCATGTCTGTTGCCAGTCGCAGCGATAAGTGCAATCAGCTCGAGCTATTCAAGCGTCCAAATGCTGAAGTTGCATTTCTTTGGCCAAGCTTGTTGTTGTTGTTGTTGTTGTCGCAGCGTGACGTTGTGATCTATGAAACACCAGTCCATATGCATGTGTACTTGAATTTATGCTGCATTCGCTTACAGCAATCCATACACACAAACACACACACACAGACATGCTGCTTGTGCTATGTTTACCCTTCGCCAACAGACGTTACTTTCTTGCCTGACCTTCCCATAATTTCGGGGGTTGTTTATCTTTAAACTAACGTTGCCCGGCTTCGCCTGCATGGGAATGTATATTTGACTCTCGGACTCAGGTAGAGCTGAAATATTGTAACGGCTTTTCATTTTTTTTTTCTTTTAGAGGGTTGTTAATATCCTTACGGGGCATAGGTCTAACTGCATCGGCATTTTTTGTATTCCCAAATACGTTTTTCTGATCAGACTGTGATCCCTATGAAACTTGTAATTGCTGCCATCAAAAGTTAGCTTAATATTTAATAGTACAGTTTACTTTTTTCCTGCATTCATCTAACTAGTTAACGTATAACTTATCACAACTCGAAGCTTAGTGGGCCCTCTTTAAACTATATTTGCAATACACAAAGAAATCGAACTAATCTTGCCCCTTCTCTGATCCCTTACAGCCCCTTGAAGACATTCAAGACGCCCACGAAGCTGCAGCCACCCACACCGGACAAGCATGAGTTGATGTCACCGCGGCACACGGACGTCTCGAAGCGTCTGCTCTTTAGTCCGGCCAAGAATGGTTCGCCAGGCAAGCTGCTGGAGCCGCCAGCATATAAGCGCTTTGCCAGCCTCGCCGAGACGAGCAAAGCCGGTCAGCTGCCCTTGCCGTACAAGTATCGTCATTTGCTGGAGGTTTTCAAGGCTGTGGACTCGGTGGTGGCCATGTTCCACAATCGCAAGGAATGCATCACATTCAAGAAGCTGAAGCCGGCCGTGCAGCGTATGCTGCGCAAGAATTTCACGGAAATGCATCTGGCCCAGATCAAGCACGTCTATCCGGATGCTTTCATCTACTCGCAGATGAAAACACGCAATTTTGGCTCAATCTCCAAGGCTGATTACTTTCAGCTGGTCATCAGTCCCAATGTGGAGCAGTTGCCCGAACAGCAGCGCCTCAATAAAGTCAATGAAGACGATGTGCTCGCGTCGGCACTGTCGACGTCCATGAATCCACACGTCATGACCGCGCGCATGCAGAAATTCCAGAAACTGTTGCTTCAGCGTGTCATGGAGGAGCATGACAAGTTTTTACGCTCACTGGATCCACCGATTATCATTACACGGGCGCTCACACGTTGGCATCCGCAATTCGATTTGGAAAGCTGCAGCGAGGTGGAGCTGGGTGTGCTGCCGCAGCCGCCGAACGTGGAGAAATATTCGTCAGCCAAGGATATACTATCGACGGCACGCAATCTCTTCAATTGCGCCACGCCCATGGAACGCGTAATGGATCGCTATGAGGCCAAGCTTGAGGCGGATAGGAGTCAAGCAAATGCAGCAGCTGCAGCTCTCACTCAGCAAATGGCACCCAGCGAGACGACACCAACAAAACAAATTGCAATAGACACCACCAAAGCCACCACAGAGACTTCCACTGCCACGCCCACTGTTAAAGAGTGTACGGCCACGACAAATACTGATGCCACGTCCAATCTGCTGAAGGGTTTGCCCCAATCGTTAATTGACAAAATACGCGCCAAGCAGGCAGCCAAAGCATTGGATGCCATGACACGTCGTCCGTCCCAGGATCAGGAGGCTACCAATTATTCGCGTCTACCGGACTTGGCGCGTCATCTGCGCAACGTATTCGTTACGGAGCGCAAGAGCGTGCTTACCCTCGAGATTATCATTAAGAAAATACAAAACAGTTTCCGGGCAAATCTGACGCCGCAGGAGATTGAATCGCATCTGAAGCTGCTGGTCAAGGAGCTGCCGTCCTGGGCATCATTTCATGAAGTGCGTAAGACTATGTATCTAAAGATCGCCAAGGATCTGGACATGAATAAGATCATTGAGAAACTGGAGGAAATTGCGAATGAGAAGAGCAAATAACTGAAGATTCAGATTAGGCAATATATCTGCAAATCCCAGACCCTGTGGACTATATCCAGCTATATGTATATTTAAGTAAACACTTACGCTCAATTAAACTAGGAAATTATATTGTTATTCATACCATTGACATAATTATTATCTATATATTTGACCCATTATAAACAAACCAAACACTTTTCATCAACTCATTGTCATTTACTCAATTATTTTGTGTAACTCAAACGCTTTGTACGCTTCATCAATTATTTTATTAGACAACTTATATATTAAGACTCATTGTCATGTATCACGTTGATTAAATAAATGTTTTTCTGGAAAGTTATTTGTTATATTGAATATACATTTGCATTCCACAGACTGAAATATACCGCGAACCGTTGCCGTTTAAATTTTAGGCGTAATCTAGTACATTTTTTGCATGAGTCTTAGGGCAACATTGTTCTTGTTTATTTTTTTGTGTGGTAACACTGTTGGTAGATGCGCGCGCTTTGCATTTGCTGTGCGATTTTATGGATTATTTCCGCGAATTATTTTTACAATGCATGATAATGAGACAGATGCGGAAATTCCAAAGCCGACAAGTGCAGAATCGGGTCAAATTAAGGCCATAGCAAAGGATACAGTACACAAAATATGCTCGGGCCAGGTGAGCTTTTATCAAAACAAAGCCAAAGGCAAGTATAAAGAGTTTTTGTATTTGCGTTGTAGGTGGTGCTCAGCTTGGCTGTGGCCATCAAGGAGCTGGTGGAGAATTCCATAGATGCGGGCGCCACACTGATCGAGGTTAAGCTCAAAGATCAAGGACTGCAGGGCGTCGAAGTCTGCGACAACGGAAGCGGCGTGGAGGAGGCCAATCTGGCGGGCATGAGTAGGTTACGCTAAGAGCTCGGCAAATGGTTTGGTACTAATTATGCTTTTTTGTTGCCTTGGGCAGCGGCCAAGTATCACACCTCCAAAATACGCGAAT